CCCCCCACAACGTTCTTTAGTGCTACTACTCTTTGAGTACATTTTTCATCGGTCAGAGGCAGAACAAACTAAACAATAACGCTAAGATCTAGTTGTAATGGTGGATTTCTTAAATGATTTGAAAACACCATATTATTACTATTAACTTGCTTTTTCTAGAAATGGACCAATACAAAATATCACACTTATTGCAGTGCGTCACCCATGGCTACATATACGGAAACGGCTTATTTCTAGGTTTAGTGTTAGTATAAGAGTTTTATGGTCACATCTACTGGTTGTACACTTGATGATGGACAATTCGTTGGATCAAATACGAAGTAGCCAGCGGTCAAACACTGTGACCATGCCCGCTTCTATTCAGCCAGTGTTCTTAGCGCAGGATTTGTTAAGAGCACGATGTCTTCTTCGTTTTCAAATCCTTGACTCCTTAGAAGTTCTTTGATTCTGACGCTGGCTACATCGGATTTAAAAATGCTTTGAGATCAGCGGCTTTATGTTTAATCGAAATAAATAGTTCTGTAAGTATTTAAAAGTTCATCCCTGTAAAATACAAACTGTTGGTTTTACTGAAAGGGGGGAACTTTCTTCTGGGATAGATTACGTGGGGCTACACAACACAAAACTAAACCGAACAGGGGCGAGCGCGAATTCTGAAAAACACGCCCCCAACACACAGAGCAGTAAAGCGTCGTCATTTTAAGATAATTAGAACATCATTATCAAAATCGTATTCTTTAAAATATTGACTGGGATGTTTGCAAAGAGTTTGTTTTCTTGGTAAAACATTTAGTGTTTTGGTCTTCCTATAAAATTGTAAAAACTGCACATACTGTACTTTTTAAAGGACGGCACATTGTAGGTCGTCCTTAGCTTACTTTCGTTGACAGTACACGCATAAGGCCTACATGTGTTACTCACACAGACGATGCAGTTGCGAGATTACCAATAAAAGTAAATTATTAAAACAATCGTAATGACTCATAGACTATTGTTTGGATCAAATCGACAAATTTTTCTTCTATCATACCACAGAAATGCCTGTTTGTTGTATGCAAATTATGTGCCACACCCGCATTGCTGGTGAAGGGCTAGAGCTAATCGATTGGTTGCAACTGATTAAGGTTATTGTGGGAAAATAACGGTGGGGGCAAATCTTGGGTAGGAGGTATTTTCCGGGGCGTGATGAATTAATTATGTCAACTCAAAACTCTAAAGACGCAAGAAGAGACGGGTAGAGAAATGAATATGTGAGAGTAGCTGCTGGCTCTGAGTCCTGCTAGCATTTTCACAGAAAAACAAAGAATAAAATGGTTTGGCCATCTGCTACAAATTAAGTCATCTTGTCAGCCAGCCTCGAAAGCACATAACTCCACGTATTCAGGCTACAAAGGGAGAAGTAGGCCACGTGGGAGAGGGTTTATGTGAGTCAGGGGAACCCTAAGAGACTAAATTAATCTCAACTGACAGAGCTTCAGAGTTGACCTAGCAACGGCAACAGGGGATTTAAAAATACATTATGTAATAGTGGTAAAGCGCGGTGTGTGTGTGTGTGTGTGTGTGTGTGTGTGTGTG